CCCCCCCACCTCGTTTTTTAGGTGTCTTAACAATACTCCTTTGGGTGCTTGGCCTGCCACTGAACAAGTTTTGGAGTCAACGCGAAGACCACGTCTCTTTTCTAGGCATGCAGTGTGTCGTGTTGTACATAGGGATTGCCGCCGTTCTGGAAATTTTCGATTTTCCCGCTATCTTCTACCTATTCGATGCTCACTCCCTTTGGCATGCGGCGACTGTCCCAACCTATTTGTCAATTTTTTCGTAAGTTCATTATATAGAAATAGGATCACTCCCCCGCCCCGCCCCCCCCCCCCCGGGGGGCNCCCGGGGTGACTATGAAGTGCTTTCATCATGGTGCGTGCCACTGTCATGGTGGTCAATGTGTGTACGTCTGTTAAGTCGGGCGTTACTAGATTAATACTCACCAACTCTTATCAACCCTACTTAACAACCAGTCAACGAGAGAGTGTTGGGTTAATGGGGGTGTGTTTCAGACGAGCAACTTCAGGACACCTCCTCTTTTCCGATGTTAGCGCTTTCTTCTATGAGCGATTTTGACACGTTGAGCTAATGAGCGGCATCGCCATTTTTCAACTTGACGTGGTTAATTGGGCGGTGGCATATCTCGCCCATTTTTAGTGCTGAAGTATTATGTGGACGCAAATTGGAGCTTTTAATTTATATAATTTCAATGTCGAACTAGATGCCTCTTTTGTTTATCCTTTAGATTTTGGCATATTATCCACGGTCCAGTTACGCACATTTTTTTTCTAGAAAGCTCCTATTATGTGGTTAACTTTCCTTAAGTGTTCAACGCCTAGTACTTTTTAACTTAGTTATTTCGAATGGGGTTTAGTTGAAGATTTCAGGAATGCTCTAAGAAATGTTTCGTCCCATACTCTGCAGAATGGTTAGTCAATTGGTAATCCATATCTTTGGATAATTAGCATCACTTGAGTTTGGTAGAGAGTAGGCTTCTAGGACCATTTCTAAGATACGTTCGCATTCCACTATCCATCATGCTAGCCAGATTTCTAAGCAATTTGATAATCACCTATGAATATCCTTCTCGTGATGTCTACTTGGGCTGATTGGAACGTCGAGCACTAAGCTACAAGCCTTATTAATTGAAAAAAAAATGAATGAAATCGAAGATGTATCTCTTTTGTTCCTTCTGATATTTTAACGTCTTGACGAAACATTTTTTGGGTCTATACACAACTTAGCAGATGATTTCAAATTAGATATTTTTTACTTTTATTGGCACTGAGAAAGCACCTTCTTTAGGCCATGAAAGAAGTACTATAGCAGATCGAATCTCTTGTCTGCAATAGTTATCGAATTTTGTGGTCGCCTATATTTAAAATCTGAAGTATAGGTAATAAGCTTTAATAACAAATTTAGTTCTTCGCTCACGGAAAGTGGATTTTCTCTTTATTGTTTGGAAGGGCCCTATTTCAGCCCAACTAAGTGGAAAGGTGTTGGATAATATTAATGGTAATCAATAAAGTAATTCGATCCCCTTTCGAAAATAAACTTGCTATTTTTTTATTAAAATGCTTTCAAATAGTTTACTTCTTCAGTCGTATTTGAAATCGTTTTCCTCTTGGTGTATCCTCCATGCACCTGACCAGGTGGTAGGGGAAGGGGGGGGGTCTGGAGAATGTAGAGGATGGGGTAGATCATTCTTGTTTTTTGTGATGTCGAGCGTTGTCATGCTGAGGAATCGTCCATTTCCCAATTTACTTGACACCTATAAACTTCGGTTGTAATCGTTTCGCTCGGTTTTAGCTATTCGTCCCTAATGCGGTCCACAAAATGTGTGGAAGTATATCACTAGACCCGATCCTGAATTGGCCTATCGGATGGAACGGGCGTTTGGTTTGTAGACAGTCATTACTTTTGTTCCCACTAATATTGTCGTAACTTGTTTCAGCTTTCATCATGGTGCGTGCCACTGTCATGGTGGTCAATGTGTGTACGTCTGTTAAGTCGGACGTTACTAGATTAATACTCACCAACTCTTATCAACCCTACTTAACAACCAGTCAACGAGAGAGTGTTGGGTTAATGGGGGTGTTTTTCAGACGAGCAACTTTAGGACACCTCCTCACCTCCGAAGTTATCGCTTTCGTCTATGAGAGATTTTGACACGTTGAGCTAATGAGCGGCATCACCATTTTTCAACGGGCGCTTGGTTTGTAGACAGCCATTACTTTTGCTCCCACTAATATTGTCGTAACTTATTTCAACGTAAAGGAGAGCGAATTATTTACCTTGGCAACAAAGAAATGCATGTGATTCTCCACTCAATTCCTCTCATATTCCCTTTATCCGTCCACTTCAAGAGTAATTACACAGCTGGCTATGAACAACCGAGTTTCATTGACTATTCTTCCAAAGTAACTGAGGGGTTGTTTCAACCAGAACTTTAAAACGTCGTCATCGATATTTGTTGGCCAATAACGCGGCATTGGATTCTTATTTCGGGATTTAAATCCTTAAAGCCACCAGTAGCATCGACGAACTACAAGAACTTGATCATAGATTCCAGTGATGGCTTAGCAGTTCTTGAACTCCTTCCATAGTTTGAAAATAGTGTTTGATGACAGTTATTTTCGGTTAATCTCTCTCACAATAGTGTTATCTCCTTGTTTATGGAGTTTCGCTTAAACTTATTTAGTTTTCATAATGAGATTGTCTATTGCATCCGCAGGGCTTTATATATATATTAAGAAAAAGGGTAGATATAACCTTTAAAACAGGCAAGTCAGTTAACTTTTTGGGTGATTTTTAGATTTGCTATAAATGATTGCCAAAATCTCAACCGAATCGAGATGAAAAGGAGGAAGAAGTCGGTGGATTTTTTCAGTTCGTAATCTCTACGTTTGCGAAGAGGATTTAACTGAGTTTATTATTTGTTATTAATGTAAATTTGCAAACTTTTTTTTTCTATTATTATTTCTACCTAAAATAAATATGAAAGCAAAGTGTTATCGTGATTTATTGAGTACTTTAAATTAGTATTTAAAATAGAGGAACTTGTTCTTGTAAGGTCTAATGGAATTTCAAGGTCAAGGGTAGATATGATTTATTGGTCTTTCGCACCTTACTATTGGTAAGCCGGGGTGTGCGATAGACTTACCTCCACGTGGTGCACCCTGGTGGGTGTGCGATAGACTTACCTCCACGTGGTGCACCCTGGGAAACGTATACTCATACGGTAAAAAGTCTATTAACCGGAAGTTTGTGTGCGATAGACTTACCTCCACGTGGTGCACCCTGGGCAGCGTATTTTCTTACGGCAAAAAAGTCTATCACTCGGCTTTCGTTATGCTCATACGGTAAAATAAGTCTATTAACCGGCAGTTGACTTCTGGCTTCTAACTACCAACACCCCACTATATGTCATATTCGACTACTTCCAAAGTACTCACCTTACCTTTTTTCTACCTCTGTGTCTGTCTCTTTTACATTTTTGAGACACTCATTTGTCCCCCCCCCCTCCCTCTCGAATTTTTTTCACATTGATATTTCTTCTCCTCTGTGAGGCCTGAAGTCACCTAAAGGGCCAATGAAACTATCAAACTGGCTGCCATTTGATATAAATAAAATAATATAAATTATTGGTAAGCCGAGTTACAACGACTTAAAAGTCGAAGTATTACAGGCGGTGGTCTACGCAGGCTTGTTTGTGTGATAATAAAGGAAGGAAACACAGAAAGCGTGACTATAGGGATCGAAGATTATTTTGATTCATTGGATCTGTTCAATCGTCTGCAGCTTACCCAAACAAGGTTCTGAGTTATTTACCAACTTCTAACTGAAAGGTGCGAAAAATGATCATGAGAGGAAGAGAGTGCAACGGATGGATATATAATTAATAGGTGCATCGCTGTAGAGGCATAGGCGACAGTATCATCTAATGGGTCAGGTTTATACCTCGATTTGCTCTTCAGTGCATCGGATGACATGACATTTTGAAAAAAAAGATTTGTCTTAGAAAGTCAAATACTTTTTATCTACAAGGAAATTATAATCACAGAAAGTAGTGGTGAGAGTGTTTGCTTTACTTGGGCTGACCTGTATGAGTGCTCCTGGGAAGAATTATCCCAGATCTCGCGACCTCTTTCAACACAATCCGAGATGGGTGTTTTAGCGCCAAAAAAATTTGAACATAATGGTATTTCTGTTATTGAATGCTATTCAAATAATAACGCAGCGGAATAATTTGATATGGATGATAGTGAAGAGAATGGATTAATAGAACTGATCGTATAATTTAAAACAAATTGTCGTTAGTAAGATATGTATTAAAGACTTAAAATCGTTCAGAAAAATATTCGTCCAAATTCTTCCATTTGATAAACAATTTTGTTAATGCCCAAAATACCCTTTTATGTTAAAACAATTGACTAGGGCATATTCCATTATTGGGGACGAAAAAGAAAGCAATTATGGTTCGTAAAATAAAACGCAAATAGACAATAAAATAATCGTCCATATACTTCCCCGAATAGGAGAAAAGGTGAGGGTTTTGTTGCGGATTGCTTCACCAATAAGACTTGGATATTCTCAGACATCTCTATGGCAGACTCTCCTATGCTTGGGCATACTCACAGATGTAAGTTTATTTATATAAATTGCAGGAGTTCTGATAGTTGTCATTAGCCCTTTTGTCGACTTCAGGCTTCACAGGGGGAGAGGAACATCAAATCGAAAAAAGTGGAGAGGGGGGAGGGTAAACAGAAGAGAGCTTCAAAGACGAAGGTAGAAAAAAGGTGAGGTGAGTACTGTGAAAGTAGTCGAATATGTCATACAGTGGAGTCATGGCAGTTTAAAGTCAGAAGTCAACTGCCCATTGATAGACGTTTTTGCCGTATGGGTATACGTTGCCCAGGGTGCATCACATGGATATAACTCTATCGCACACCTCCTCTCAG